TCAACTAAGAAATCGATTATCGCAGAGTAAGTGAAGTGATGTTTCGCTTGTGAAATCAATTCAAGGCCATCAATTCAACTTGAATAAAGCAGGCATTAGAAACATCAATTACAACATCTTTGAACTTGTTCATAATTTCAATGTAATTCATGGCATGCCATTCACGATTCTTAGTAGAAAGATTTAATTTCTGGAACAAATTCTTCAAAATCTTCAACTCCTTCTCATCAAACTTCCTTCCCGTTTCCGAGTATTCAATATTATCATCCACGTATTTCATCCAGAAATCATCAAATCCGTCTTTTTATTTCCACACTATCACGAAACCCTAATTGTTTTCTCCAACAAAATTTTATCGAGTCTAAACCTAATTTTTTGTGTTTTTTAAACCGAAACCAAATTTTATTGGCTTTCCCGCTCATTTTTATAGTAGATGAAAATTGGTCGGTTTTTAATGATCTACCCGGAGTAGTGTAATTTGGAATTGATCATGTAATTTAATAATGTGTGTCAATGTTGTAGTCATTTTATTAAAATTGGACCGATGTGACTGTGAATTATTTTTAAACGCTAAAATTAATTTAAATTATTTTTTCTTATTTTAGGAATTCATTTTAAATTTTTAATTATTTTTTTCAAATTAATTTAAATTTAGTTTTATTAATAATAAAAAAAAATAGAAAATCAAATTAAACTTTTTCAGGAAATTATTAAATTTAGGAAAAATACACTTTAATAATGTAACACCCCAATAATTCTCTCTTCAAAACCTGTATTAACCTGTAATAACTTGTGGTAACCTGTAAATACTTTTAATAACCTGTGAGAGAATTACTGGTGTGCTACAGCCACGTGTTAAAACGTTAAGGCTAGTTTCATAAATCAGCAGCGGAAAACTAATTTAGTTTTAAAAGAAAATGTAAGTTTCAAAACTAATAATCAAAACCAAATTTAAACTTACAAGTTGGAACCATAACGGCCCTTATTCAAGCCCAGTAAAACAGAGAGTAAATGGAATTAGAACCAAAATAAAATTCGATTTATGATATAAAATAAGCTAAGTGAATAACCAACGCTCCACTCAAATCCCATCACCCTGATGCAAATCAGTTTATGCAAAAACCTGTGGTTAATCTGCTCCCCAATTTTACAAGTGTAAGAATTGGATCATTACAGGGTCATTGAAGGCGAACGCCATGACCAAGATAAACACACAAAAGCACGTCATCAGCAACGCTGAGTACATACAAGCTACGAAACACAGTAAAGAGCCTTAGCATGATACTAACAAGCATTCCATACACTCAATATAACCATTGACTCGAACACATGATTCAATTGTTACTTATTACAAGGTTTTTATTTAAGTAGCATTGACCACTTCATTAATTGATTGGATTAAGCAATAGACCGGGTTGTCCCCCTGTGCTCCATTCCGGAACATTAAATAAGAAAACCCTATGCCTCCTTTCGGAAGACATTAATAAACATCTAATGGCAGACGGGCGCGACTCCGTGACCATAGCTAGTATGAGATCTCATCTAACTCATTATAATTTTTAGAGAATTTAAAACAAGAGACTCGTAGATCAGACGGCCTCTCGACTCCGTGGCCATAGCTAGTGTGAGATCTCATCTAACTCATTATAATTTTTAGAGAATTTAAAACAAGAGACTCGTAGATCAAACGGCCTCTGAAAAGTACACGGCTAATACCCCGTGAACCCCAACCCCTATTTGTCATTATTCTAGATGTGCACAAATCCAGAATTTTATTGCTCATCCTTCTTGCACTTTACGTGATTTACCAGTTTAGATTAGGTGATGACTCGCATGCAATCAACACAACCAATCATACATCAATCATACAAATCATTCAAGTTTCCAATTCAATTCTTAATTTATTAGTGACAAACAACATGTATTATTGCATCCTTTAACTACCTCGGTGTATAAACACCTTAAATGCATAAGGCACCTCATATCCACAATCTTGTCTTATAAGACTTTAACTCTTCCTTTACTCATTCCATTTCAATACAAATGAATAAGTAATTAAAATGATTCATTCCATATATCCTTGTATTTTTGCCTCTAAGCTCACTTTGCAAATTATTGCATAAATAATGCTCATAAGGAAAATCAATGCAAATTTTCTCATACACAAATTAAACCAATCATCACATTTATCATCAATCAACTCATTACCAAACAATGTCAACCAATCCACAAGTTCCCTAGCATGATTCTAGGTTTTTTTTCCAAGTCCCTAAACATGCTCCTAGAATCAAGTTTCTCGTATTCTTATACGTACCTTAACTAAATCACCTTTCCAACTAGCCACGATGCTAGAAATTACTCAACTTAAAGTCTCCTACAATACCAAATACATAAACTCAATTACTTCCTTGATTACACAAATTTCTAGCAACTTTTAAACACTTTAAACCTTCTCTAATAAGCCGAAATTTTGGTTTAAAACCTTTAAAACTCTTTCTTTAAGTGGGTAATTAAAACCACAAAGTAAAAACTCATTCATGGTGTTTATATAAAAATTCCAGCACACTTTTTAAAATTTAAACCCCCCAAATAAATCTGAAAATTATTTTTAAAACATTAAACCTTCGTCAAAAATCAAAAACTGTCCAAAAACCCTATTTAGAGGCTGATTTTGGCCACGAGAGGGTGGTGCTCACTACCTTAGGTATTGAGTTATGATTAGAACGTTGTTTACACACGGAAAACACTATTTTTTGTAAAAATCGGACGAGTTACAATATCAGTGTGATTAAAACGGGATTAAAAATAATTAAGAACGGAGATCGGAATTTGATTACCTAAAATTCGTTTTTATGTTTAATAAATCTTTATAAATTCAATAGGAATGAAATCCTTAATTTAATTGATTATTAGAACCCTAAAAATCAACACTTTAATAGTTAAAACCCTAACTTTTAATACTTTATAAAAATCATAATTTAAAACACTTTACAATATGAAATTTATAATCTTTAATCATTAAAACACAATTGTAAAACATACTAATCACGTTTCAATAATTAAAATCTAAAATCCATATTATATAATTATAGAAATAATAATTAAAACAAGAGGGGAGATAAGGGTGGCTCACGGTGGGGTGGTTGCCGGCGATTTTTGGGCAGCCGGAGGTGGCTCGCCGGCGGGATGTTGGAGGCGGAAGCAAGGTGGTGCAAGGTGGCGTGAGGTGGGGGTTTGTTTCTCTCAAAACCCTCACGTACAGCATCATAAAAAAAATAAAAGAATAAGAAAAGAAGGAAAAGAAAAGAAAATAAAATTAAGGAAAAAAGAAAAAAAAAGATTACTTACCCCAAAATCTGATTTTTGATCTCTTGTGTGGGAAAATTTTGGGATATTGAGAGGTATTTATAGGGTAGGGAATAAAGACTAGGGTTGGGTTTAAAAAAAAAATAGGCTTTAGTTATGAAATATTTTACCCACAAAGGTTCAAATAAAAGAATTGAGCTTACTTAAATAAAATGGGTTGGTCCACAAGGAGTATGTAAGGATTGTTTACATACTATTATTTAAACGAGCTCAAACGATTAATAAACGTTTAGCCCAAAATAAATTATACTTTTATAAAACTCAATAATTTAAATACTTTAGCCCTTTAAATATTTAATTAAAATACTTGAGTATTTTAAAAATATATTTTATAATTAATTAAATAATTTATAAAATACATAAAAAATACGAGGTATTACAAATAATCCCAACTTTGCCCAAATTACTTTGAATAATCTCAACTATCGATTATTCTGCAACAATCCTAACTTTCATATCTGTTTTCTTCTAACAATCCCAAACAGGTCAACAACTTATTAGTGTAGGTCATTTGACATGTGTCGACATGTGAATGGCCCGAAAAAAATTCAAAAAAACAATTTCTTTTAAAAAAAAAAAGAAAAACGAAGCAACCCCCTACCTAGCCTTGACAACCACCTCTTCCCCCCTACCACATCACTGAAAAACACCCTCCTTCCACACTCACTTGACCAGAACATCTGACAGGCTAAGTCGTATCACCTAATCAAAAGAATTACCTAAGTCCTCTAGCTAAAGCAGAAAAGGAAGTAGGGTTTGTTAGAAATTTGTACTCTTTTATCAAAAATCGGCCTTTTTATTAATTGTACGTGTGTGTTCTTTTATACACTGTATTTTTTATTCACAGGCACTGGGTTACAAGTTTGATATTTAATATCTCTGCAAATTGTTGTTTGCTAGAAGAAAGATTAGTTTCATGATCAGGGATTTCTAGTGACCGTGCTTTTTTACAACACGCGAGTACTTCGTACATTCTCTCACATCTAGAAACAGAAGCAGGATAGAGTAGCAAAACTTTTAAGTAATCTCAATCTAAAGTGTTAGGGTTGGTAAGTGCATAACGGAAGCACATTAAAGAGGTAGAGATTAATTAAATAATAGGAGATAGATGAAGGCAAGATAAGTAGTAAAAATTGACACACAATATTTAATGTGGGAAAAATCATCAAAAAAAAACCCACGAACGACAAGCGCTGAAATAATCCACTATATGAAAATAGGAGAGTAGTATTACAAGAGAACTCTTACTATAGGATTGTGTGTATGTAGAAAGGCTAGTGTATGGTATGGCTTCTTATGTGTATGTCTTGATTGAATGGCGATGACCTATATTTATAGGTGTAGATGGAGTTTGGAAGAAATGGCCGGAAGATTCAAGAAATTCCTCCATCATTCTTGTATTCATAATATTCTAGAATGCTCACGAGCCATGTATTCTAGTAGCTTCCAATCTCAAGAGTTCTCTAGAACAATAAAGTAGACAATTCTAGAGAAAATATGGGCAAGGACTATCCTTGCTTGTTTTTTTCGGAAACATCTAGAATATGCATAAAACACTCTAGCAAAATAATGGGCTTATAAAATTTGGGCCACACCCAACATAAAGAATTGTAATAACATGGCTGATCAACTCAGTATGATAAAACTAACAACTGTTATTCATTCATCACTGTAAAAGGTTCTGATAGCTACAAAAGATTTATGGTATGTCGCTATTTATAGTACATCAAATTCGCATCCATACAGATGCAATGCGGCATGGAATGAAGTTTGCTAGAGTAGCCATTCGCTACCCCCCTATAAACTCATCCATGAAAAATTTTGGTGGGAATAAAATTGTAGGCTGAAAAGATGATACTTATCACAGTAAATGCTAGCCTGTTTCTGCATGTTCTCACAGCTTTCGCATAGCATAAAAAATAAATTCATAGCAACTACTGATATGGTTAGCATACTTGTGAGCTGCTTCGGTTGTTTTGATCTGACGCCTAGAGGAAAGCAAATTTTCTAAGATATGTTCACTACTCCAAAATCTCCCTAGGCCACACACTCTTCCAAGTAGCAATTTCATCGTTCGTGTGAAGCTTTCTTATACCTCCATAAAATCCATCACCTTCATTTCCTTCTTCTCTGTGATCCTTCCTGTTAACAATTGTCCTTCTCCACCGTGATCCAGGTGTATATTGATTAAACTCGAGCACAACAGTGTCTGCTTGCAACCAAAGAAGTGTGTCAAATGACTAAACCGAACATAGTGGACGCAAACCTCACATCTGTTAGAATATGCTGAAACTAAAGACAGAACCTCGGGATTAGTCAATTCATTAGAGTTTCTAGTTGTCAAGACGCGTATCCATGTATTTATGGACTCCAAATTAAGCATGGAAGGAAAGCACAAACTTACCAAGATTAGATTAATTTGGACTTTTAAACTTTATCCAAATAACTGATGCTTCTATGCCCTAGAGGTATAGGTTTTTGAGGTGATTAAATGGTCCAACACTCTCCAACCAGGAAAAAATGGTGGAAAGATGTGAAACAACATAAAAGAAGATAAAACAAAAGGACAAATGGGTAAACTTGATAAGAAATCATTATGCAACCATTGTTGTCAAAAGGCGAAAAACATGAGAAATCCACCCAAGTGGGGATCCGATGCAACCAAACAGAGCCTAAAGGAAGAGGACATCAGTTGCTTTCAGTATGCCTGGCAATAAATATTCTCTTGAAACAAGAGGTCAGGCCATTTCCGGAGAAAACTAAGACACATAGACAGCAATATGTCCTGGGGACCAATGACTCGGAAAGAAGATGACCCATATGCTTGATGACCATTACAAAAATAAGATTCAAGGAGCAACTTATGGCATTTAACACACCCTCCAACCAGAAGATCATCACTCCCTCCGTGTCTAATGAATAGACCACATTTCAATTTATAGCTATACCAATAAACTCCACATCAGGCTACATTTATATACTTGAAAATTTTATTTTCTCATATTAATACCCGAAATGATGCCCCTAATTAGGATCTTCAAAATCAGTTACATTGATATGGGGGAGATGTTCAAATGTAAAAAGTTTCTAACTCAAATTCTTAGAAAGATTCCCAATTGGCCTTTTTTTTTATAAATTAGTATTGCGTATGGTATATGCAGTAGAAAAATGAAATGCTAATTAGTAACCGAAACCCCATATATTTTAAATTGGGGAAGAGCACAAGGGATGAAATCCCATGCAGAAATTCTAGTTCACGTTACTTGCAGTATGCTTAAAGTAAAGATTCAGTGATTACAGGCATTAATTTACTCACCGCTACTATGACATCGGCAATAATTCTCATTTCCATCACATGACTCCAAGTGGCCAACCACACCATACCACCATCCTGCGATAAATATGCCGAACACTTTTGTTAACTTAAAAATTATTAGACGTCTAAGTTAGTTATCTTCAACCAATGATTTGTTAAATATGCATAAAATACAATAAGAAGAATGATTCAAGTATCAGCCAGAACACTGCAAAAGATCCAAAACTAAGCTTAATTATATGGGACAGAGAAAGTATTCATTAACAAAAAGTGCATCAGCAATTTAGTCCTAAGTACGATTTTAAAATAAGCAATTAGGCCTAAAATATGTTCTGTTTTCAGTATCCATTAAGAAAGGACCAGAGGATCTCATGGCCTCATGCGAATATGGAATTATACATAAACATTGTTCAATGTAGTTAATTAAAAGCAGCTTTAGCATCTGCCCCTGTTGACAGAATCGACCACCAATAGAATTCATAGTTCCAGTATTTCAGCCACATAAAAATACACATTAGTGCACACTAATCATAACACCCCTCTTGGCCATCCAAAGATACAAAACAACTCCTACACCGTTTGGATAATTTGGAAGGTCATTACACATTTACTCCACTTAAGAAAATTATTTATACTCAACCTGTTTCTGAATAATAAGCCACCTTTCTTATTTAGATCATCCCAAAATTATAGGTTACTCTCTAAGTTTATTAAGTTAAATCTTATGTTTCCGTATATTAAACTTAACAATCCCATTCACTCAGAATTTCACAGAGAAACTAATATAAATCGAAGCTTTACTACATACATCTTCATGTTTGTCTGGAGGGGTATTGTTATGTAATTTTTCATGAATTCCGTATTGCTACTACTACAAGTACTACCTTTTCACGTCAAGGAAAGTCTCAGCAGGCCAGCTACAATAAACAAGTTGCAAAACTTTTATTGTTAGACTTGCAAACCTAATTACAGCCAATCAAGAGAAAGATCTAAAAAAAATAAGTCAAACCAACCTGTATCTAGTATCCAGCTGCACAAATTAAATAAATAATCACACGACTACCATAATGACACCCAATTAATTAGATTGTGGAACGTACCGTAAGGGAATTCTTTATTCCGTCTCCACTGGATCTCTATGTGATCTCCAGGGTGTAGATCATTTAAGCAATCAGATGCATGAAGATCATGTGGTGGAGTATCCACTGGTGCTGCCCTTAGCCTTTCCCATTGAATACCACTCTCTATCGCCACTGCCCTTCTCCCATGGGGCGGATATCTGCAACCATAAGTTCGTTTAAACACACATAATTCGACCATAAAATATGTGTATGGTGTTCTTTAAATTTTCATGTACGTGTATGACTCCATTAATATAATATATGATGTTCTTCAAATTTTCCATGTAAATGCATAATTCCATTGATCAAATGTATGTTGTCCTTCCATTTTTCCATGTACAACTTGATTAATTAAAAAGTTCTCCAAATGTTCCATGTACATATATACCTGGAAGTTTTTTTTGCCTTCCATTAATGAAATGTAGTTTTTATATGGAAGAATATCTAGAATTCGAAGCTTGGATTGAATTCCTTACCTTGCCTGGAACGTGTCTGTTTGGGGATCATAGCTAAGCTCAGCATCATAGCAGGACAGCATAAAACCAAAATGACCATTCTGGCAAAACAATAGTAAAACAGAACTTTCTTCAGTTTCTAAAAGAGGAAAAATGACATATTGATCATAAAAGAAACGTCAAGCACATATTCAGGATGAATGATTGTGATCAATATACCTCACGGTTGTAAACTTGGGCAGGGAACCAGAATTTGCCACTTTCAAGAGCCAAAAACCAGGACATAACAGTATCAACCAGAGGAGAAGCAGAATCCTTATTATTAGACTTATCAAATTTTGATGCAAACCATGTCAAAGGCCATGCATACCAAATATATTTCATAAAGCCTTGTGATTTTTTCCCAGCAGAAACACTCGAATTTCGTCTAGAGGCAATAAACCATTGCCATTCGCGGGAAGCTGCAGGACCTAAAACCCTCCCCCATTTATGCTTCATGTGTCTATCCCAAAGGTGATCACTGATGCATCTCTCCCTCAATGAGCTACAAACAGCAGCCATACTACACAACCCGGCAGGCGAAAGCTTCTCAAGAATACAATCCAATGCTAGTTCAGGCAAATCCAAGACTGATAATTGCTCATTTTCATGAACATTCTCAAATTTAGAGCTAAAAGTGCCCTGTTTTATTGCCATAATAATAGATGAAAATGGAAGATCCCAAAAAACACCAAAAATTCCTTTTCTAAGAGCTTTGCAAATGGGAGAGAAAGACAACTCTTTCCAGAAGCAGAGTGGTAAAAACCTCACATCACTAGCCCAAGGTGGAAGTGGTTTTAAAGATAAGGAGTTTAGAAAGAAGAAGAAGAAGGAGATGCCAGTCACCAACAAGAAAAGCATTTAGAATGATTTGTATTTAGTAATAATAATAATGATGGATAATAATCTAATTCAAGGTATTAAAGATAAGGACACACCCAAAGCAAGGAACCCAATTGAGGCAAAAGCAATTATAAGCCAAAAATTAAATTATAGAATTTGATGAAAGGTCTTACTCTTTCTTCCTCAACACCCCCCCTAACTTTTTCTTACAAAAAATTAAATAAATTAAATGGGGTGAATGGGAAGAGGATCTTCAAACCTCACACTTCCAAGATATGGGTTTTTATTGGTTTGATAGAGCCCACCAAAACCCAAAAAATGGACCACCCTCTCAACAATCTAATCCAATCAAAATAGGTATTTTGTTTAAACACTCCTCTCTATGCAAATAATGATACGGCTTACTTTAATACAAGTGTCTAATTCTCATATATATCGTGTACTCGTACAATAATACAATTACGAGTACAAGTATACCGTGGTATCCTCTATTACACGCGCTCTCTTCTTTAGTCTAAAAAGGACAGAATAAGGTGGACATTCATTCACCTAGTTGACACCCAAAAGGTTGCTTACTTGAGCTTCTTCTTACCTTAATAATAATAATAATAAGGTTTACTACTAAAGATATCACCTTTACCTAAAAAGCTCATCAGATAATCAAAATAGATAAGGAGGAAGATGATCAACAATAATAAAAATGGTTTTTTCAATTCAACCCAAAATCAAAATGGGGTTTTTTCTATTTTATTAATCTGACACCTAGGAAGACATATAGGTCCAGATACAGAAACCCTTATCTTCAAAAAAAATTAAATAAGAATTTCAATGTAACAAGAAACAGATCTTTCTTAAGAACAAAATCCAACAAATGTAGCAAAACATAACCCAGATCTGGGTAGTTGAAACTAGTACTTATGCAGCAAAATTAGGTGTACCCAACTTCTCTAAACAAATAAAAAATGCAAAAATTGACAAAAAAAGATTGAAAATTTTTTAGGGTTAAGGTTAAAGAGGATAGATTTAATGAAGATTGCTGGTAATGTAGGTGAAGTTAAAGGGCAAAACAGGGTCCCTTTTTCACCATAATTTCAGCAATATCTTCTTCTTGTTCTTCTTCTTCACCCAAAAAACTCCATTATTATACTATAAAGCATAACTCCATCTTTTTATTTCTTTGTAATTTTGTTATTATTCATTGGGGTAATTCAACAAACAGTTGGTGGGCAAACAATTACAAAAAAGAAATACATTGATGGGGAATGGTGGGCGGTGATTCTTTACCTCGAAAGAAACAAAAACAGTCTTTCTCTCTCCTCGAATTACAAGTGGGAGAAACAACCGCGAAAACGCTGAATTTGACCGTTAGCAGATGCCGATAAAACAACTGAAAGTTGGTATTGGTAGTTGCTCTACTTGTGAAAGTGGTTGTTACCCCCGATCTTCTTGTTAAGGTGATTTTTGTTTTTATGAATTTGAATTTTACAAATTAATCAACGGTTAAATTAGTTAGCTAATATTCACTTCTTCCTAAAGAAGCAAGCCTTTAACTTGTTGGATCCCAAACGATAAATAATAAGGGATTAAAGGTGTGTGTTCAAATCACCTTTGTTTCACTACTCTGATCTTATCTTATCTAAACTAATGATATATGAATAAGTGAAAATAAGGTGAGTTGAAAAGACGTAAAAGTTTTAATAGTGACTTTAAATAGTATGAAGTGTTTGCATTAAAGAAAATTAAAATTAAAAAAAAAATAGTACGAAGTTTGAATGATAAACTAATTTAGTTGGTTAAAGTTTTGAGGGTGATGCTCAAAAAAAGTATATTGTAAAGATTGTACAATTAGAAGTAACACGATATTTACAATGATCATTAGGAATTGTAAAACAAGGTTTCAAAGAATTAATACCTTTTTTAAAAAAAATAAAAAGAAGATTCAAAGAATTAGTACCTTTCCAAAGAGAAAATTGCTAATATTTAGAGAACACTTTAAGAAGATATCACGCAGCACCATTATGATAATCATATTTTGATTCGTTATAAAATCCCACATAAGTGACCTAACATACTAGTGTTTCAAATTTAGACACATAATTATGTAAATTTGAGGATAAAAAAAGCTTAAAATATGATTCTCCTTTTTTTTATTACCACCAATGAAAGCAAGTCAATTGGAATCTAATTACAAAAACATCATTATCAGAAAATTACAATTGATTCAAAGTTTCAAAACATTTGTTTGAGTGTTCCACAATACAAGCCAATTGAATAGGATACAAGTAATCAAGTCAATTATCAAGCATTGCTGGGTGTACTAGGTTGCGAATTCACATTATAACCTTCAGGAAACAATGTCGAATTCCTTTCCTCTTTCCATCACCTTTGAGTGTCTAAGTTGTAAATAATAATAAATCAAAATAAAGTCGTCAGATTTAAAATCTGGTTAAAGTCATTCTCGTTATACCAATTACAGTACGGAGTGAAATCTTTCAATTACAATGAAAAAAAGGACCACATCCCACACATATGAAGTATTACTTTTACATAATTGGCTAAGGGTGGACCATCTTAATTAGACTTTTAAATTTTTATTTGGCCTTTTAAAGCCAATCATGAGTTATGGATATATATGGATTGTCTTTGGCTTGAATGATGCTAAAACCTTTGTGAGTGTGTGGTGATTCTAAGCCTCACATTATAGACAACCAATTGGATATTTGGATTGAAATTAGGAAATTATACATGAAATAATAATAACAATAATAATAATAATAATAATTTTTATTTGGTCTTTTCTATGCGTACGTGTCCTCCTCGTCTTTTTGAAGCGGCCCAGGTTTCTTTTGATGTGGCCCTTCAAGGTTCTTTGGAGCGCATTGTAACTGCTTCGGGGCCAGGTTTTGGTGATTGGCAATGGCGACTTGCCACCTTACCTTTTTCTTATGGTGGATTGGGTGTTTATTCAGCGGGTGATGTTCGTCACTATGCTTTCCTTGCGTCGCGTTTGCAGTCTTCTGGTCTTCAGACTTCGCTTCTTCGCAATTCTGGTATTGATGATCTAGGTCCGGCCTTTGATGGCGCTCTTAGTCTTTTTAATAGGACTGTGGATATGACCTTTTGCGTAACCCTAGTGAGATCGCTGCCCCTAACCTCATGAAGAAATTGGCAGATATATATTTCGCGAAGGTCACTGCTTCTGTAGAATCCACTTTCTCCTTATCTCCGCGTCAGATTGCCTTATGGAAGTCCCAGCAGGGGGATCACACATCTGCCTGGTTGCCAGCGGTCCCAATATCAGGTTTGGGTCAGACTATGAATGGTAAGACTTACCGTTGTGTTCATTGCTTCCGATTGGGTGTTCCCTTGTTCTCCGTTTTGACTCCGTGTTCTGCTTGCTCTAGGGTTTTTGATGGGGATATTTATGGGGATCATGCAGTGTCTTGTGCTGGGATGGTGGGTATTAAACATCGGCACAACGTTGTTCGTGATACCCTTGTTGATATTTGTTTCCGCTCTGGGATTTTTGCAAGGAAGGAGGTTAACGCTGGGTTGACTTGAGGGAATGACGGGGCCCTTCGACCGGCAGATGTGTTGCTTTATTCCTGGAAAAGAGGTCTTGATGTATGTGTTGACTTGACGGGGTCTTCTCCTTTGACTCAATCTGGGTTGTCTGACTTTGTTCCTGGTCGTGTTGTGTCGGCTGCGGCTCAGCGGAAGCGAGACAAGTATGGGGCGTGTTGCAGGGCAATTGGTTATGGTTTTCTTCCTTTCTCCTTTTCTTCATTGGGGGAATTAGAGAAGGATGATGTTGCGTTGCTGAAGCGGATTCAGGCGTTTGCTAGGACTCAGGATATTGGTGCTCGTGCAGCTGCTCATATCTTCAACAGGATCGGGTTCGCTATAGCTAGAGGGGTGGGGGCCCAAATTGTATCTCGGCTCCCCACTAATTTCTTGTAAATCAATTGACTTTGTAGGTTTTTGTTATAATAATAATAATATGCCTTTAATTTGGTTGATCGTACGACTTTACTGCGTGAGGTTCGTCTCCGTTGTCCAGCTCTTTCGCGTTGGGTTGAATTCTGTTACTCTACTCCAGCCAGGCTCTATTATGGGGAGCATACCTTAAGGTCATGTCAGGGTGTGCAGCAGGGTGATCCACTTGGCCCTTTGCTTTTTGCTTTGGTGCTCCATCCGTTGGTTTGTCGAATTAGGGATTCTTTCTACTTATGTTTGTAGGCTTGGTATTTGGATGATGGCACTATTATTGGTGACACCTTGGTGGTAGGGAAGGTTATGAAGTTGATTTTGGTGGAGGGACCTCGTCTCGGCCTCCATGTTAACGTTGAGAAAACGGAAGTTTTCTGGCCCACGGAGGACCCTCATAGCCGTCTGGCCGGTGTCTTTCCTCCAGATATTGCTCGTCCTGTTCATGGTGTTAAGTTGCTTGGGGGTCCTGTCAGTGCGGATGCCTCTTTCTGTGGTGAGCTTGTTTCGCAGAGGGTGTCGAAGACCATTGTGCTCATGGAGGCTGTTGCTAAGCTTGAGGATCCCCAATGTGAGTTGTTACTACTTCGTGCGTGTACTGGAGTTCCAAAACTCTACTTTTCTATGCGCACTTGTCCTCCTCGTCTTTTTGAAGCGGCCCAGATTTCTTTTGATGTGGCCCTTCGTGGTTCTGTGGAGCGCATTGTAACTGCTTCGGGGCCAGGTTTTGGTGATTGGCAATGGCGACTTGCCACCTTACCTTTTCTTATGGAGGACTGGGTGTCTATACAGCGGGTGATGTTCGACACTATGCTTTCCTTGCGACGCGTTTGCAGTCTTCTGGTCTACAGGCTTCGCTCCTTCGCAATTCTGGTATTGTTGGTCCAGGTCCGGCCTTCGACGACGCTCTTAGTCTTTATAATAGGACTGTGGAGACTTCCCTTTTGCGTAACCCTAGTGAAATCGCTGCCCCTAACCTCATGAAGAAATTGGCATATATATATTTCACGAAGGTCACTGCATCTGCAGAATCCACTTTCTCCTTGTCTTCGCGTCAGGTTGCCTTATGGAAGTCCCAGCAGGGGGATTACTCTTCTGCCTGGTTGCGAGCGGTCTCGATATCAGGTCTGGGTCAGACTATGAATGGTAAGACTTACCGTTGTGTTCTTTGCTACCGGTTGGGTGTTCCCTTGTTCTCCGTATCGGCACCTTGTTCAGCTTGCTCAAGAGTTTTTGATGGGGATATTTATGGGGATCATGCAGTGTCTTGTGCTGGGATGGTGGGTATTAAACATCGGCATAACGTTGTTCGTGATACCCTTGTTGATATTTGTTTCTCTGGGATTTCTGTAAGGAAGGAGGTTAACGTTGGGTTGACTGGAGGGAACGACGGGGCTCTTCGGCTAGTAGATGTGTTGCTTTACTCTTGGGATAGAGGCCTAGATGTATGTGTTGACTTGACGGGGTCTTCTCCATTGACTCAATCTGGGTTGTCTGACTTCGTTCCTGGTCGTGTTATGTCGGCTGCGGCTCAGCGGAAGCGAGACAAGTATGGGGCGCGTTGCAGGGCAATTGGCTATGGTTTTCTTCCTTTCTCCTTTTCTTCATTGGGGGAATTAGAGAAGGATGTCGTTGCGTTGCTGAAGCGGGTTCAGGCGTTCGCTAGGATTCAGGATATTGGAGCTCGTGGGGCTGCTCACATTTTTAACAGAATTGGGTTCGCTATAGCTAGAGGGGTGGGGGCCCAGATTGTATCTCGGCTCCCCACTAATTTCTTGTAAATCTTTGGACTTTGTAGGTTTTTGTTATTTTATAATAATAATAATAATAATAATAATAATAATAATAATACACATATATTATATGGTTTTATTTATCTTGGTGTTAAAAAGAATAAAATTAAACAGAGGATCCACCAATGAAGGAAGGTTTTCAGAATTGTAAAATTACAAAATCTATTTGGCCAATGGCTGGCATTGGGTTGGAATATGGGCGGCAGTTCATACTTGATGGCATGTGGTTCTATAATTTTAATTAATGGGTACTTCATATATACCTATTTTTTTGTTTCATTGGACTTTACACGGTATTCAAGACACATCTTGTAATATATATAACTTTATTTCTATACATGTAAAAATTATAATAACTTAATATTAATAAAATATACTATAAAACGAATCTAACAAGACCGCACATGAATTGTTGATCAATAGGTCAAAGTCTTTGAAGTTTGACCCAATTTATTACAATGGAGAAAAAAATAGGGACAAAGAAAGTACATGACATTGTATTTAATTGGATAATTTTAAAATATCTCTAGTATTTTATTTTACATAACAATATTTTACATGATAATTCATACTCTCGTACGATTTTATTCACATGTACACGAATAAA